TGGTAGCTAGTGCATGGGCTAAAGGGGCGCGGTTCACTGACTCGGCTGAAGCCCTTGCCCGAGATGCGGAGGTCTGGAACCGTACTGTCTTTGGACATATTCAAAGGAGGAAGGATCAATTGCTGAATAAACCGGAAAGACTGGAGCGCAGGGGAGGAGGGGTTAACGACAACCAGGAAGTCCGCCAAGTGAGAGAGGAACTCGAGCTAGTACTCTTACAGGAAGAGGTGACCTGGTGCCAAAAAGCTTGTCTAGAGTGGATAATCTCTGGAGATCGAAATACTAAGTTTTTCCATACTCGTACTCTCCATCAACGCAAGCGGAATCGGATAACTCTCCTTAAGAATGCAGTGGGTGATTGGGTAGATGATCCGGCAGAGCTACAAGAGATGGAAAGAACTTTTTCCCAATGGCTATATACCAATGAAGGAGAAGAGATGCAGCACATCCAGGCTGCCTTCCCGCCAATCGTGACTGGGAAATGGGAGGAAGTGAGCAAGGAGATCACACTCGAAGAAGTGAGGTTGGCTATTCGATCTATGGGGGCTTTAAAGGCTCCAAACAAAGATGGCCTCAACCCGTTGTTCTTTCAGAAATGTTGGTCCATGGTGGGAGAATCATTGGGTAAGTTGGCGCAGGAATGTTGTGAAATGCCGCATAAAATCAAGGATGTCAACTCAACCATCCTAGTCCTCATCCCGAAGGTGGCCCAACCTTCTTCTATCGAGCAATTCAGGCCGATTAGCCTCTGTAATGTGGCCTACAAAGAGATTACTAAGTGTTTGGCGGAAAGGATGAAAGGGTTGATGCCATCTTTGGTCCATGAGACACAGAGGAGCTTTGTGCCCAGGCGTCATATAACCGACAACATCTGCATTTTGCAAGAGGTAGTCCACTCTATGCGAGCGAGAAAGGGTCGGAAAGGCTGGATGACGTTGAAAATCGATCTGGCAAAAGCTTACGACCGGATTAGGTGGGAGTTTGTAAGAGATACACTCCAGGCAGCAGGCGCCCCTCCCAAGTTTGTGGAGCTCACGATGGCGTGTATTACGTCAACTTCCATTAGAGGTGGCAATTGGATCGGATTCGTGGATTGGATTGGTGGATCCATGGATCAAATGGATTGGATCCAATGGATTGGTGGATTCATGGATTGGATCAAATGGATTGGTGGATTGATCCATGAATCCAAATGACATCCAAGGCTTAGACCAAAATGTAAAATTGGAAAAGTTTTGGTACTAAAATGTCCTAATGAAAAATTTTAAGTACCAAAATGTAATTTTCCAATGATATTTTTTGTACAAAATATAAATTTTAGGTACCAAATTGTAAAATATAAAAACTATAGGTACCAAATCGTAATTTTCCATTTGGATCCATGGATTGATCCATGAATCCACCAATCCAATTGGATTTGGATCAAATGGATTGGATTAGGTGGATAATTTGGTGGATGGATTGGATTGGATTCATGGATTTGGATCCTAATTGCCACCTCTAGCTGCCATGCAGATACAGTGGAATGGTGGACTAACTGAGCCATTCTACCCTTCGAGAGGTCTCCAGCAGGGATGCCCTCTATCGCCATACATCTTCACTCTCTGCATGGAGAGGCTCGGGCACTTGATCGATGACTCTGTGACAAATGGACAGTGGAAACCGATAGAGCTTGCTAGCTCTGGGCCGAGTTTGTCCCACCTGTTCTTTGCCGACGACCTTATCTTGTTTGGGGAGGCGACTTTGGAACAGGTGCAAGTGATTCTTGACTGCTTCGAGCTCTTTGGAGGGGCATCAGGCCAAAAGATCAGCAAAACCAAGTCCCGGGTCTTCTTTTCAGCTAATGTTTTGCCTCATGCTCGTAACAGTATGAGTGAAGCTCTTGAGATCCCCGAGACTCTCAATCTGGGCAGGTATCTGGGGGTGCCGGTTATCCATGATCGAATATCGAAAGCTACCTACACAGAGTTGATAAACAAAATAGACTCGAGGCTAGCAGGATGAAAGCCTCCACGTTGTCACTAGCAGGAAGGATCACTTTAGCGATTTCGGTGCTCTCCTCCCTCCCAGCTTATACTATGCAGACAGTGCTTCTTCCGGCAAGTGTGCGTGACTATATAGATAAAAAAATCCGGGCGTTTGTTTGGGGGAGTACAGACCAAGGGAGGAAAATTCATCTAGTTGACTGGGTGACCCTCTGCAGGCCGAAGGCGGAAGGAGGGTTGGGGCTTAGAGATGCAACAAGGACAAACGAAGCCTACATGTTAAAAATTGCTTGGTGGTTGCTAACGAACCCTAATGAGTTGTGGGCTAAAGTGGTCCGATCAAAATACTTTCGTCAGGACGTTTATCCAACCTATAGCGGGGAGTGTTAAGGGTGATACACCTTGTAGAGGAGGCTTCGAGCTGGAACATTAGAAATGGAAGGGTGGCAAGGTTTTGGAGTGACCGATGGATGGCAGATGAACTGATCCGCAAAGACTCGGCACCTAACATACCGGAGGAGTGCTTGCAGATGCCTACCGCTGATTTTGTGCTAAATGGTGAGTGGAACAGGGATTTTTTAAATGTGTACTTACCGCCCCATGTTGTTTCGCAGGTTGAACTTCATCCGATCCCGGCGGAGCTAGAAGACGACGTGAGAGTGTAGCGGTTCTCCCAATCTGGCGAGTTCACCCTGAAGACAGCTTACGAGCTACTTGATAGTGGAGCCAAGAGCAGCACGAGGCATCCAGCCTGGCGCACGATTTGGCGGACTCCCACCATGCAGCGCGTCCGGAATTTTCTGTGGCTGATGGTTCACGGCAGGCTGCTGACCAACGCTGAACGCCAACGACGACACCTGACGGAGAATAGCAGCTGCAAAATTTGCGGAGGAACAAGCGAGACAGCCATGCACGTCGTTCGAGACTGCCTTTTGCGAGAGCGGTGTGGGCGGAATTCCTGGAAAGCGAGCCTGACGGCAGCTTCTTCGAGCCTGACATGAAGCAATGGTCTCTACACTACCTTTCTAGTCGCAATAATGTGGTAGATCCTACTTTGTTTGCAGGTACGTGTTGGCTACTGTGGAAAAACCGGAATAGCCTCTTGTTCGAAGGTGAGCTGAAGACCTATGCACAAATTCAGTTCGACGCAAAGCAGCTAAAGCATCGGATTCACACGACATTCGAGCAAGAAAGTCGCATTTTCGGAGCCGGGGGACTCCGGGAACGTCGACTCATTGGCTGGCAACCACCTCAAGCTGGCTGGTTGTGCGTGAATACTGATGGCTCAGTGATACAAGCACACAAGAGCACAACGTGTGGAGGAATCGTGAGGGGAGACGATGGCCGCTTCATTAAAGCTTTTTCAGCGAACCTTGGAGGGGGTTCAATCACTCGAGCAGAGCTGGCTGGAATTGTGCATGGGTTGAAGCTTTCTTGGGAAGAAGGGGCTAGGAATATGATTCTTCAGACAGACTCCAACACGGAGATTACTCTCATTGAATCTGCAACGACCAACCACCCACATTACACGAGTGTTGCTGAGATTCGTCGCTAGCTAGAGAGACATTGGCAGGTCAGGATTGAGCATGTGTACCGTGAGGCAAACTACGTTGCTGATTATTTAGCCTCTCTTGGACACTCTCTTGCTGTAGGGGTGCACATTTTCGATGTTCCCAGTACCATGTTGTTGTACTTGTTGTACTTTGATCGAGTTGGGGCTCAAACGCCCCCGGTTGGTTTAATGCATAAAGGTTGAGGCGCCCTTTAAGCGCCATGTATTCGGAAAAAAAAAAATTTTTTTCATTTTTATTGTTTCTTATTATTCGTTTGGTTACTACAGTAACCAAGAAATTCATTCGACATGAGACAAAAGAATATTACCCGCCCTCAACCATCGATTATCACAAAATTGTCACAGTTAACCGCACACACATTGTGCAGCACATTTTGACAACGTCGCCCATCTCCCCTGCCTACAAAACCCAAACTCCATTCACGATTCATCAAGCTCCACAACACCAAGAACCACACAGAGGCCTTTCTCATATTCCAGTGAATCAATCCAAATATCCAATCATGTCGAAGAACGAGTTGGTGATCTTGGACTGCTGGGCCAGCCCATTCTGCATGAGGGTGAAGATTGCCTTGGCCGAGAAGGGACTTGACTACGAAGCAAGACCCGAAGATCTCTTTGGAGGGAAGAGTGACCTCTTGCTCACTTCCAACCCCATCTACAAGAAGGTCCCCGTTTTCTTGCACGACGGCAAGCCTCTCTGTGAGTCGTCCGTCATCGTTAGCTACATCGACGAGACGTGGCCTGCCCCTGCCCTGCTCCCGTCGACCCCTTACGAACGTTCTCAAGCACGCTTCTGGGCTGACTACATTGATAAGAAGGTACTCCCCATTTTCGTATCTCACGGAAAAGATCATTGTTGTAGAAATGAAAATATAGTTCTTGCGAATCATCGACAGTATCTAACTTGAGGGGGGTTTTATTTGTGTTAACTCGATGCAGTTGTTTGATTCGTCCGCTGCCATCTGGAAGGCGTCGGGGGACGATGCCATGGAGGGAGCCAAACAGGAGTTCGTCGAGGTGCTGAAGGTGTTGGAAGGAGCCCTAGGGGAGAAAGAGTACTTTGCTGGAGATGCATTTGGGTACGTTGATATCCTTGCAATCCCAATCACTTGCTGGTTCTTGGCAAGTGAGAGGTTTGGGAACCTCAAGGTTGAGGCTGAGTGCCCTAAGCTGTCAGCTTGGATCAAGAGGTGCATGGCGAAGGAGACTGTTGCCAAGGTTGTCCCTGACCCAGAAAAGATCTATGAGTTTGTTATCAACTTGAGGAAGATGTTCGGAATTGCCTAGAGAGGTAGAGAGATCAGAGAGGCTCTAAAGTGACAGTTTGGTATCCCCAATTTTTTCTTGCTTTCCAATAAATATCTGTATAATCAGTCTATGGTGGAGTGAAAGTTAAACAGTAAAGATTATACTTCAACTGAGAGTTGAAACTTGAAATATAAGTTCTGCAAGTTATATTCCTTTGTTACTATCTCATTGTAGAGACATAATAATTTGCTAAGGAAAGTGAATGTCATGTGTTGATCATTGGATTCTATAGTAAATTGAGCAGGTAATTTGTTGTACAACAGCTGCATGTGTAACATGCACATATCTTCTACCAAAATTCGAAATATTTATTGTTCCGTTTCACGAAGATCCTGAAACTATGAAGCTAGAACGGCATGAGATTCCAGTTTCGCCCTAACCTTGTCCAGACAAGTTTGAAGATCCTGGAATTCTTGTGTGTCTGAGAAGCTCGCTGCCTGAGGAGTTGGGAGGAAAGAGAACATTTATGTTAGTAGTCATCATCTTCCTTGGGAACCAAGAAAATGGACTCCATGATCTCAGCTTACTTGTCTAATAGTGTTTCTCAAGTGCATCTCAGCTGTTGATAACTCACGACGGCTATTTGTAGAGGAAGAAATCTCCATGTAAACGTTGCATAGTTCCAATGAAGCATGAGCAAACTTCTTGAATCGATCACCGTCTTTCCATAGATCGGACCCCTGAGGAAAGAACATCAACTATAATGAAAATTGAAAAAGGCCTACCAAGCAATGACTATTGAAGCCATACAAAATCATGGGTGTGTGCTCGTTTCGTCTAAAATTAAGTTTTTAAAACTTGAGTTGAAAGAAAACTCAAAACAACTTTTCATATAAATGCATTTATATAAATTTCAGAACTCATTATAGTCATCTCCCGGAACCAACTCAATTTTTATTACTAAGCAAATTATCTATCCCATCCTATTAGCTCCACTTTGTCTAAGATAGTAAAACTATATGGAACACCTTTGTTCTTAAATTTCCTCAAACTTTAGAAAAAAAGTCTCTAAAAACTACCAAACAAATGTTCGGAATAGTTCAGTCCTAACTCCTAATGAACTGAAAGCAAACAACATATTGATGTACCTGATATGCTCTGATTTGCTTCAAGAAGGCTTCAGAGCACATAGTAAGATCTCCTTTGATTTTATGCCACCTGGCATACAATCCCCAAATCTCTGCTCTGCTCACGTTTTTCACTATCTGGATCACAAGGAGAGACCAGTAGAATTGATTAAGTCTACAAAGGATAAAAAAGCACAACATACATCAACTGCTACAAGTTAGGGTTCCTCCAGATGCTACCTTCTGCAGAATTTTCCCCAGCAGTTCCAGCAACTGCAAAGTTTCCCTGGACTTTCCTTCTGCTTCTGAGCTGCAAACTGAGTTGCCACTTTGACTAGTGAGCTCGTTATCTTCACTAGATAAAGGCCTCTTTGAAGTTCTCCTTTCCATTTCTTCCATAATCCGATCCAATAACTCGACGTCAATTCTTTTGCAGCTAGTAATATCTGCAACTCTCTGTACAGCTTCCAAAGCCTGCAACCCAAATCATTTATTGTATTCACATCTGACAATTTCGCACAATCTAGATCAATGTTGTTTTATAAAAGTACCTTCCAGGTGTTATCCACATCCATGGCTACATGACCATAGTTTTCCCACATTTGCCAGCTGTTACGACTGTCATGAATGAAAATCATGTTAGTACTGCCATCATAACCCAAACTTCAAATGCTTGCATTTGTTTGTTTTGCAAGATGTAAAGCCTGAAACAGAATCAACAAAGGAGAAAGAAGCAGCATACTTGAACTTCAATGCTTCGTTGAATGCAATGAAGGATTCTTTGCTCTTCTTCTTTATCATATGCCTGCATTGACAATTAAGGTTGTTTCATAAACCACCTTTTACATCGCATACAAACAGCTCAATTCTGGTTTTACCATTTACTAATCAATTCCCTACTAAACCTCTTAAAACCATGAACCTATTAACAAAAGAACCAGGCAGGGGAGGGAAATAGCAAGCTTAGACCGAGTCATTAACAAAAAAACAAAAAAAAATGAAAGATGACTTACAAACAAGCAATATTGTTCCAAGCCTCCCCATTATCAGGATCCAGTTGAACGGCTCTTGTAAACCCATCCACAGCCTTGTCGACATCTCTAGCCTGTATCATCATTTAACGAAAGACTAATAAAAAAACTGTATTTCCAAACAAGATAGAAGAAAATGACATTAGAGCAACAGTACAGGTGATTAATGAATGACCACAGCGCACAAGCTACCTTCAATGCAGCAGCACCAAGAGCAAACCAACCATCTGGATATAAAGAATTCAAAGCCATTGCGGATTCCCTGGGATGGTGACAAATACAATTGGTTGCCTCTAAATTAGTTAAAGAGCTAGAAGAAAATCATAGATGAGTAGTAACAAAATGGGTATAGCTACAATACCAAAGCATTTTAGATTTCTCATACTCCCCTCTGTTATACGCGCTTCGAGCTAGAGCACGCTGCAGGAAAAAAAAATAGAACAGCCATGTCAAATGAAGTTACCAACTTGTTGCATAAACCGAAAGAACTCATTCTGAACAATGATGCTAACCTTGGCTCTAGTTGACCTATCATTTGAAACCTCAAGAGCCTTCTCATAGAAGCTATCATCGTTTGTTACATCACCCAAGGAACACCTAGCCAAAGAAAGTATTGCATTTAATGGAACAAGCTTTCGTATTGTTTGCATAGTAAGTGAATGTATTGACCAGCTTTCTACTATATCTATAGCTGAAGTTGCACAAGCTCTGTCAGAATAACATGTGAGGCAAAGGTCAACATAGCAACAGCAAATAAACTCGAACAATAGGCATTACAAAGAAATGTACACAATTTAGACAATGAAAATCCTCTTAAGCTATAAAAGTTACCATAAATATTCATTCTGACATGGATTTCAAGATTTAAACTCCTTTTCAGACTTTTTGGTTCAAACACTTAAAGAGAAGAAATAGAGTATGTCAAGCTTTTCACAATGTCCCATCTCAGATTTCCATCGTACCCTGATAAGTGAATACTCATATCAACATCTTTGGAAGAATTCAGCTGATCTCATGATATTTTATTAATAAGACAGCAACCAAAATCATAACTTCGAATAAAAGCAATGCCTTTCAAGTATAATTGACAAATTACTTTGTCTTGTATATAAAAGGATCTTCACATCCCATTACATGACTTGCTGCAATTCACTAAATATGTGACAACAGCGTGAAATTTAGAAGTAACTAGGTTGGAAGAAACGTAAAATCCAGAAGTAAATAATTTGATTGAAATTTAGAACTTACCATAACCTTGGGTCTTTAGGCATTTCAGACAGTCGCATCTTAATGAGTTCAACAGCAGCTGCTTTCTTTCCCAGTAAGCTGTTTTGGGTGTCATAACTCAAATGAAACTCAGAATTGATCAAATAATGGGAAAAAGTAAAACATCCGTCGTCATCTTACCGGTTGCAATATATCAGGCTGTCCCATAACTCCAAATCCTCAAAAATTCTAAGAGCTTCCCCTATCAAGCCACAGCTCACAAGGAGTTCACCATATTCCCTAAACAGTTACATATTAGACTCAGAAAGGTCTCCACATAATATAATATCATCCAAAGACATAATGTGACTCACTTTTTCAGAGCTGGAATGGTAGGGATATTAGCTACATAGCAAAATGGAATCCTTTGTGCCACTCCAGGAAAAGGCTTTTCAAGATTCTCAGCCTGAAATATGAATTGGCGGCTGTAAAATGGGCTTCCAACGAACTTGATTCAAAGGAAAAGACACGATTCAAACTTGAAATGTTAAGTTTATAAATTAACTGAAAGCAATGAGTTAATTGCATGTCTTACCAGCTTTCCCATCATTTCTATTGCACGAACTTTTGTGTGACTACGAGTTGACTCCCAACGGACACGCAAGAGGTCACAAAAATATTGCAGCTAGATTAAGATAAACAAGAAGACAGTAAGATTGAGGATATATGACAATCCAAGCAAACAAAGACCATAAAATCATAAGGAATGCATGAGAAAGTTCTGCAACAGTTGATTAACAGTATAAGTAGTTAAGCTATGGCTTCTTTACACTGTTCTATCCAAAAACACTGATTCCTGCTCACTTACAGCAAACAGTGATGAAGGCTGAGAATCAATTGCCTCAATGTATGGAGCAACATCCCAATCTGAAACAAGAAATGAGGACGTAAATAACCAAAACATGGAGACATTGCAATTACCATGAGCAGAAAACATTTCTATTTTAGGATCTATCAAGCTTCAGCTCGGGAGCTCCTTTTCATTCAAAAGCAACTTACTTTGCAATTCGTCTTGCCGAGAACCTTGCTGAATTATAATACAGTGGGCCAGGATCACTGCTTGTTGGGTTGAATTTAAAAGGGTAGCACCTCCAAGACCACCAACCTCCACCAATTTTGGTTTCTTAAGTATGTCGCATGATTCAGAAGGTTCATTTTTCAATGGATCCAAACTATCATTGGCAATTTCAAATTGTGAATCAGTGCCACCATTGCTTAATCTGTCTGAAACAAGCACTTTTTGAGCCTTGGGTTCTACTTGATGAACAGTACGATATCCAAGAACACCAGTAACAGATAGCTGAAGCCCTGCCGCAACTTCAGCTGAACCGATATGGCTTCTGACAGTTCCAAGAATACCCCCAAAAGAAAAAAGACATAGTAAGAATGACTTATGAAAAGAAAAAAGGAGGTGGGGGAGGTGCATATTCAACCAACAGTAAGTTTCATACCTTCCTGAATCGACACGTCCATAGAGCTGCTGCATTATGCCAGCCTCCAAGTGTGCAATTGAGACGACAGTAGAAGCTTCTTCATCAAGTAACTTATCACCCCAATAACTTATTACTTTTTCCACAATACCAAAATGGTCCAGAGTCTCACCCACATACAGTTGCAACAGATCAAAAAGCAAAGAAGAAAGTTCGCTCAAAACTCTTTGGTTGGTAAGTAACACCCTAGAGAGCCACCATGAAATGCTTCTGATCCCATATGTAGAAGAAACGCTTCCTTCAAATAACAAATCTTTCGTCCTCATGACCAAGATTTTAGCAAAAACTATATACTACAGAACAAAAGAAATTTTGATAAGGATAAACATGATAGCTGCGATCAAGAACAAACACAAACGATTCAATACTAGCTACCTTTTCATTGCAATTTCAGGTTCCAAACATGAATATCTACGTCTAGATTATCACCACATGAAGCTGAATTCACTATGGTGCCAATTCAAAGCTAAACAAGTTGCATTTTGAAATAGATTAGAAACCAGTACCTGAAGATTAGAGAACTTGCCAAGCAAGTCTGCACCCTCAGACATAAGCTGATTACGTGCCCACGCTTCCCAGTCGATCTCCTCTTCACCTTCTGTAAATTTAATTGGCAGAGGAGATACCTCATCCAATGGTCTGCATATCATTCCACCAGGACATAAGAAATCAAAATAAAAGCAAAATAAATTCCTTCATTACTCTAACCAGCCTCCAATATGAACTCGACTTCTCGACAATTAGAAGCCTAGCTACATAATTCAATCCACTTAGAGATAGAAGTTGCGAATTATGTCTGAATTAAAGAAAAGAAATACCCGGTAATGTTGGATTGAGTGAAGTAGAAAAGCGCGGCAACGCCAATAGACAAAACGAGGAACGCTCTGCAGGCAATTTCTTGAACATCGTTACTATCAGTTCCATTCATTACAAACCGCTCAACGTTTGCCCGCAACTCGGAGCAAACTCGGTCGTCGGAGTCATTTCCGCTCTCACCAGTAAACCCAAAGGAGAAGAGCTCCGCAGCGATATCTATGAAAAGAGCTTGGAGATAGTTCCCGTTCTCGATAAAGCTGAGAACTTGATTGATGTGTTCGTGTAGCTTTGTAGCAAGCAGAGGAACGTCGGAAGATGGAGAAGACTGGGGTTGAGATTGAGCAGAGTAAGTGCAGCGAAGGAGACGAAGCTCGTAGCCACGAAGAATCTCCGGCCTGGGGTCATGCAGTTCACGGATACCGGCTTCCGCCATGGATGGGTTTGTAGAAAGTTGCAAACTTTAGAGCGGGACCTTTCTCTGGATTCTGGTATAATAGGGTTTTAGAGAGGATTTATTAATTTACAGTACTGTTGTAATTTTTGTACGAGACTTTATACTTCCTTTTCAATTCTACTTTTGACTTGGAGAAACACGATGCCAGTGTAAAACCAACCTAGAGTCCTAGACTACCTTGCTGATTTAGGTTAGATCATTACATTCTTTTTGTACGCAATTTGGTCCTAAAATTTGTTTTTCCTTTCAACGAGAAGAAATGTTGAGAGAGGAATGTTAGGATCGTTTGGATGGGTGTTTTCAATGAGTTATTGTGAGTTATTTGGCTCATAATAACTCGTTTTGCAAATTTTATGGTAGATGTGGTATTGTGAACCGAGTTATTTTATTTGAGAATATCACAAAATCGAGTTATTCTAAATAACACCTAGGAAGGTGTTATTTTAAAATAGCGTGTTCTATGCATTGCTTTCCCACTTTTTCATCCCTTTTTGCCCCTCTCATGTCTCCTCTCTCCTTCCTTCTTCCTCTTTTCTCCGAATCCATTGATTCTTCTAGCTTTAGCCAAAATCGGTTGATGCAAAATCAATTCTTCCGCTATTTTGGGATTCCTTTCTTCATGTAGATCAGATTGAGTATGTGGAACCCTAAATTTTGATGAACAAAGTCGAAGGAGAGTTAGCAGCGGTGGCGAACGGAAGATGAACAAAAGCGATTCATCTTCCTCTCAAGACCTCTGCATGTCTGAGCTAGAGCGGCGGCGAATGAAATAACTCATTGTCGTTTGATTCCCTCCCCGGATCTTCTTCGATTTCTGGGTTTTGACATTGTTCTGGGTTTGGATGAATTGGGTGAATTGTGGCGAGCTCCATTGGCAGCGAATGTGTGATATGGGAACAGATTGGGGTTCGGGTTCTACTTCTTCTTCAATTGGGGGTTGGGTTTGGGTCCTGTGTTTCCTCTTCAATTAGGGACTGGGTTATTTCAACCTAAAAATACCACACAATCAAATAATCCATCCAAACGAACAATGCTAGCATTGGTGCTATAGGTTTTTGTGTACAACTTGAAATTGTACCTTTAACGTTATGGTACAACTTCAAATTGTACCTATACTTTTTGTGCAAATCCTTTTATGATATAACTTGAACTTGTACCTTTATATGGTGGTACAACTTCAAGTTGTAAAGTTGTATCATAACATAATGGTACAAATTCTTTTATGGTACAACCTAAACTTATACATTTATTGTTATGGTACAACCTAAAGTTGTACATTAAAGCATCAATAGTCCAATACTATATAGCATAGGAGAAGTGCTCATGTTGAGATTGTATTCAATGAATTACAAGCAAAAAACTTGTCAGTAATGCACTAAAATGAGTTCAGGCATGGATGACAATACAACCAGGAGAAAGGGTACCTCAAACACTCAACTTGATGGTTTCATCCAACTTTTCTATTGGCTTTGTTGACATAGTAAATCGAGGTCCCATTAGAGATGTATAGATTGTTCGTTCTTCTAGCAAGTCAAGCATAACATTAGATGATAACACGAATTCTTGAATCCTCACTCCTCAGCACACTCGATGGATTGTATAGCTTTCCCTGAACCCTTTGCCATGGTTACTCAGTCAATGGAACCTCTGAGCCCTACTCTATTAATGAAACCCCTGGGCGAGAAGCAAAGTGTAGACATTTATCCAAAATTGAGCTACTTGACTTTCATCAAATAACAAATGGGTGTTGTTCCTGAAAGAAATTCCCCTGTATAGGCTTCAGAATTTAAGCATACAAATCTCCATCTAGAAAGATGAGGTGAGTCTAAAGCTACTAAGTTTTTGCTTAGAACCACTCTCATTAGTCATTATTCACAGTGATATCCGTCAAGCTCGTCCAAGATTTCCTCCTCTTCTTCCTCGAACCACCAGCATTCGTCTCAGGATCTGTTGATGCTGCAGCAGCAGCAGAACCAGTTTCAGATTCTTCTGGTTTCTTCTTACTTTTTGATCTATTCCTTTTCTTCCTCAAAGCCTCCAACAATGGTATCGGACCAGCACTTGTGTCTAATGGAGTTCTTGGGCTGCCTGCTGCCATGGGCGAGTCCTCTGGTATTGCAGCCAGTGCTACGTCATCAACTTTCATTGCCTCACTAACCTTCTTCCCGCTTGTGGTGGCTTCCTTAACAGGGGTGATAGGGTTGATGGCGGAAGCATCTGGTTTGTTCAAGCGAGGATTTGGCTTGGGCGTTGGTGGGCATATTGATTTCACATGGCCCTTTGAAGTCCCTCGCTTTTGGTTCCTGAAAGAACAGAAATGGCATGTATAGATGACATAGTTCTGCGGTGGAGTTTGGTTTATTTTGCTCTTGCCTCCACGCTTTGCTGCCTTTCGTCGATTCTTCTCGATCCGGATTGTACAGTTGAAGCCAGGCTGAAGAATTGTCTCGCATCTGTTGTGAAACAAGGAAAGAGTATAACTTTGTGTCAGCTGTCATGGATTTGACATATGGCAATACAGCCAGAATGGACTAACGCTAGTACATTGGGAGAAGATCACATGAGTGAGTGGCTTAGTCCCCTTTGTCACCTGATGTTATCCCCAAATACATTGCTAATACAATCGAAATTTGTAGAGCTGGAATGTTCGTTAGATCCTACCATGTAATGCTTAAACATCCTAGAGTTTTCTAGAGGCTGAATTCACTGATCCATACAAGCAAATAAACCTCTGCTTTTCTGGACATGCTCAAACACTTGAGAAGATATCTTATTTGAGTCTATTTCTGAACATATAGAGAACAGAGAAAACTTCGCCCCGCAGCTATAAATGGTTTCAAAGAACGATCAAATTCAGACTGCAATGCCCCAAGTTCTGAAAATAGCAGCTTCAACAGCATTCTAGGGAAGTCATATGACAAGAAAAGCACAAACCTTTGGCATGGGAACAGAGACGGGTCAGGTGGGACGCCGAGAGTTTCTGCCGCTGTGGCGAACTGGCGACCAAAGAAAGCGCCGAGAGAAGGGATTGAAGCTTCTGCTCCAGCCCATAGCGCAAGCCTTTGAAGGTGGTCGAGTTTCAGCATCGCCTTGGAACTACGAGGTGGGCCCTTGTCCTGCGACCTTCCGAAAGGCGCGGTAGTTTGTGGCGGATTTGTCGATTTTTTTTTCTTCGCCATCCTCAGTGTTGTGTTCCTGGGCCGAGCGTTGTTTTTTCAGTGGGGAATTTCGACGAACAGGTTATGGGCGAAGGAAGCTGCCGGGCTGAGGAAAGCCAAAGGGAGCAGTAATGAAGAATCGGGGGACTAGGTTATGGGCGTCGGCAGAATGGTAGTCGGGGGAGGCCGGATGGTCGATGTTGACCAGTGAACTGCTGCTCTGGGGGACTGAGAAGAAAGGGGATGAAGATTGAAGACGATGCGAAGAGTGAGGGCGATTAGGGTTCCGCGTTCTGAACCGATTTTTAATTTTCGCGCTAACTTAAAAACGATGCCGTTTGGTAGCGGCTGAGTGCGAATAGGATTCTATCTGCCCACTTCACTCTCACTGTAAGCTAAAAGCTAAAAGCGGATAAACCTCATTTTTCAACTTCTACAGGGGTTGGGTTTTAGCATTAGAAAAAGCCTGCGAGAACAAAGCTCTCTTCTTTGGCGCTGGCCTCTGCAACTCGGCTAGGTACGAACTTTGAATCCCTCTCATGATTCCATCTCTTCGTCAATCTAATGTTTTGCGTGCAAAAAGAACTTCTGAGTTACAACAATTTTCAACTTATTATCCGAATTCGCGTTCCCTCAATGAAAACAATCTCACGGTTCGTTAGCTCTGAATCAATTAATGCGACCTTCTAGCCTGATTTGATTTCGAAACCCTTCATCTCTAGTGTGTTCACCATTCGCTTTATGTCTTGGGTACAAAGCTGGAATTGTTGATCTCTTTATTCTGTGCATAAATTAGCTAATTTTGCCGCAGGTGACCTGCCCTGAGAACAGTTGTCAAAGAAAATGGCCATGGCAAGTTTAACAGCTTCCCCACACACTGCCTTGTTATTATCACCCACCGGAAGCAATGCCAAGAACCAGGGTTGTACAAAGAACCGACGCCTCGGCATAAGAGCAGTCCACCCAGTGAAGTCACTGGAGGAGCTCTACCAAGTGAAGGTAGAAAGGAAGGTGTCACCACAGCGACTGGCTGAGCTCGGTGTATCAAGGTGGTCGATGTGGAAGACCGGGAAATGCAGGCTGCCGTGGGACTGGCAGGTAGACCAGCTGGTCTACATAGAAGAAGGGGAAGTGAGAGTTGTGCCAGAAGGAAGCAAAGGGTACATGCAGTTTGTGGCTGGTGACCTCGTTCGTTATCCGAAGTGGTTTGAGGCTGATCTCTGGTTCAATGGTCCTTACCAGGAGCGGTACAGCTTTCGCACTTATGGTGATGATGACTGCTAGGCAGGCAGTGATAGTGCCTTGTTCGTTATCCGAAGTGGTTCGAAGCTGATCTCCGGTTCAATGGTCCTTACCAGGAGCGTTACAGCTTTCGCGCTTATGGTGATGATGACTGCTAGGCAGGCAATATGGTGCAACAGAAGTAGTGGAGGTTTGTAGTGTTGGAAGAAGTGATGCTTGGAGTAGGGCATCAATCTGTGGAGCAAAGTGTTTGTTGTAAAATAGTTCATAGTGGTGTGTCTCAGAATGTGTAATTCATGATAGCACTCTTTGAACATTATTGCAATCTTTTGCTCTAGCACTACTGGTCTAGGGTTCTTGTATGAGAGGGCAAATGTAGCAAACTTCATTGGAATCTGAATTCTGAAAAGCTGCTGAATATTGTGGGATCAATATGGGAAAATCAGTGAACCCACGGGACTACAGTCATAGACCATATGAATTGAACCATAATGGAACATGAACGGAATAATGAATGAACATCTGTGGCACCTGGCAAGGAGGAAAAGGAACATACACATTGAACATCTCATCAGGCAAATACCCTGCAGCATTAGGCATTTAGAATGTCTCTCAGAAGTATAAACAAATGGAGGGAATGGATTACGGGAAACAATCTTTCTTTGTGTTAATACAGGAGAAAATAAAAATATTATCAGGTAGAAATCCCAAATATCTATCATCAAATCCCATATAATACACACACTTCACCGAGACTGAACCCTATCTATCACAAGGAAACCATGGCTGTTTTCTTTATCACCCGGGCAACATGGTTTTATACACTGAGAAGCTCGAGGGAAAGTGAGACCAGGAAAAAAGATTTCGATCATTGGCAAATCAATAAGGCCACCACAACCTCTCATCAAAGGATCCAAAAGAGTCTTCAACTTTGCAGTTGCTTGCTGTTGTTCCTCAACTGCCACTCAACCCCTGTGGACTCGTTCCGCTTGGAATGGCGACCGAGGCAGCGAACCTCGAGACGAGCACAGCTGCAGTCGTCACAGATTTGGAGGCAGCAGTGTCTTCCAACTTCTTCCAGATGACTCGTCGCTTCTCTAGCGCTTCTCTCTCCTTGGCTTCATCTTCTTGGAATTTTGTCAGGCATTCCTCAAAGAATTCTGGGTCAGAGTCCGAGAATATCTTTCGTACATTTAGTGTCAGGCTCTGTACAGCTTGGTTCCAGTGGCCCTTTGTGTTGTTTTCCAGTGCTGGGAAGATTAATGGCAGTATCACTTTCTGGTTCTGAGTGATTAGATTTCTTATGTGATCATTGTTCCATAAAAACAACGCTCGTTCAGCCACCTGTCAGAAAAATGTCTCAGGTTACTTATGCACAATATCTAGAAATGTCATGAACCAGAGACATAGAAAGCAAACTGTCATATTCGTTACTTAAGCACCACAGCATCTATAGAACAATGACAATAAACCATGCATAAAACATCATTTCATTGCTAGAAAGAGTTGAGGTTCAGTGAATTTAAGAAATCAAGTGAATTTTGTAGATGTAATTGTGTAAGAATGGGTGTAATGTCAGAATACAATATTGAATTTGTAGGGACTGTAATGTTGGACATACAGATTTATTATTGAAGTTCAGAATACATAATAACATGTATTCAGGAAATAAGTGTGGGCTGAAATAGATGGTGTTTTTCAAACAAAATTCATAACCACCCACTCCATCATAGTCATAGGAAATAATCCCTGGCCAAAGGCCCCTTAACAGTAAGAGACAACTATAAAATCAAGAGCGCAATGTTTATGCTGAAAGAAAGAAGAGACAAACTTGACTAGCAAGCCATCTAGAATCCTGACTATAATCAGTAGCAACATGGAACCCACTTCAAGTGCAAAACAACAAGCACCCCGCCCCCCCCCCCCCCCCCCCCCCCCCCCCCCCCCCCCAAAAAAAAGGAAAAAGTCACTAGGAAAATTCAGCATCACCTACTAGATCGAAATATATCCAGACTAAGAAAGCCGATACTAGCTAGAGCAGTCCAGGATAGAGAACAACTTCAAGAGTATTAGACCTAAACAAACAGCAATAAGAATTCACCCAATAACCACAGCTGCTGATCCAGATATATCTACAAGCTGAATCAGACACCTTCATTCAAAGACCCAGGGAAAAGGGACCACGCACTGGTCTCGTTAACAGCAGAAGAATCAAAGGATTAGATTGCAGTCGGTCTTGGTCACGTTTAAATATTGTGAACATCAATTCTCGAATACACTGAGTAGACGCATCATAAGAGTAAGAGGAAAACAAGCTCAGAAAATTGCATGTTATAAAAGCAGCCCAGGACCGGCTGCTCGGGATGATAAACAGGAACTTAAAGCTACAAGCCAGTAAGATAACTGAGTCTTCGTCACATAAATATACCTGAAAATGTGAACTGTTGAGGCAGCGAGCAATTTGTCGGAATAGTGGGACCATACAGCGCTGGAACTCTGCTCCTTGAGTAGCTTCCAAAACTTCCTCCAACTCACCAAGGAACATAACCTCCTTCGAACTATTAGTAACGGGCCAATACTTCAAAAGACCACGAATCACAGTATCAGCCAGTTTGAAATCCTTCTCCACAAACTGAGTAATGCAGTAGGAGAGTTGCTGGTGATACATGGATATACACTTTGGCTTGTGAAGTGGAATCAATGCACGGACAAGAAACAGCTTATGTTCTTCCTTCAATGGCAAGGCAAACCCATTAATAATGCTGCCCAATATCTCCAGCAACTCAGCAATCCCATTATGTTTCTCTGTCTCAAAAATGAACCTATAGAAGATATTGTTGATGGACTTCCGGATAAATGGGCGATGCACCATGAATTTCCCATAAACACGATGCAATATCGTCTTCAAATACTCCCTCTCTCTTTGATCCTCAGAGTCAAACAAGTCGAGCAATCTCAACACAAAAGAATGGTCAATGTATCTCTTGGCAAGCTTAGCATCAGTCTCCGCTGAGGCCACGAATCTTAATAGGAACTCATAAACAATCTGAAGATGAGGCCAAGCTGGTTCCATGGTCGGTTCTTCCTCTTCCATGTCATACATTTCAAGTATCTTGTTTTCATGATTCGTGGCGGGAAGAGTTCTGAAGAGATTAGAAGCAACCATTTTGGTTATCTCTTGCATTGCAATCTCGTTAAACTTCATTGTTACTGAGGAGACATAATCGACTAGCTCGAGCAAAGTCTGCCGCTTGATGTCTTTCTCCTTGAGATGCTTGGTCGGGTCACTGAAATCGAACAAAACACAGCACATTTGCAGCTTTCTGATGAAGAGATTTTGCTTCTCTGTGTTAGGAACGTCCCGGAAACTAGGCAATGCCTCATAAGCCCCAGAAGCCAGGGCATTCACCGGATTGAGCGGCACCCTTTTCCCTTGATTGACTTTGTTCCCATTGTTCAAATGCGATGCCCCTGAATTAGCCGATTTCGAAGCCACTGGAGCTGGCTTTGAGCTGTTAATGGCATTGGCTCCATAACCCGAATTGACAGACGAAGAAGAATAAGCATTATTGAACCCACCATCACTGTTACTGTCGTTACTCGAAGATTTCGAAGGCTTGCGAGGTAACTTCCCTAGTATCTGTTTGATCATATCTCTCCACACCAACAGAAAACCCTATCCCTCCTCCGACCAAACGCTTTCGTCCTAAAATCAAAATTCAACCCCCCACTCAAAAGTTCAAACTTTCCCGCAACTACACCTCAAATTAAACGAAACCCCCCTAATTCGAACAGCAGACCAAAAAAGGAGGAAAGAATCAATCCTCATGCAGCTCCATCATTTCCACCACTCATCAGCTGAGGAAGTTGTTTGCATATGTATACACAGACGAGCTTCGAATTGAGGAGAACAACGAAAGAAGAGAGCAGCTTTTGACACTTACTCACATTCAAGAAAAACAGGAAGAGATCTGTGAGGACGAAGAGACTGGAAGAGAAAGACGAAAGCCAAAACCCCCAAGCCCCAAAATCGCAACTTTTCGGTGAATTCTGATGATCTGGAAAATGGGGAGGAGGTGGGTAGGGTAATAATTAGAAAGAAACCCTAGAAAAAGAAAATTCACTTCCTTTTTTTTTCAAATTGGGTTGCCTGCAGCCTGACCCAATTCGTTTGAGAGAGAGAGAGAGAGAGAGAACCGTCGAACAGGGAAAAGAAGAAGGCAAGGAACGAAAGAGGAATCGAAGAAACCCACACAAAAAAATGATAATAATAAATAATTGGTAAACAAATAAATGGAAAATGTACCAAGAAAATATAACAAAACTACTCTCTGGTTTCTCTTCTCTTCTGTGTGTGTGACAGTCTGTCCGGCGTTGCTCTGCTTTGCTGTGTGCGTGTGCTGATTTAAACAACAGTAATTACTTATAAAGCAAAAAGGAGCACAAAAGAAAAACAGACAATAATCCTAGGAAATAGCGGACCAGTAAATTAATCAACCGACGGCAGCACCTGCAAAATTTGTGTTGCTCACCGAGTTACTGTTTTGTCCCTTTTGGTTGAAACCATCTTTTGTAACCCTACTACCGGTTGGGGGTGGTTCCTTTTTGGGTAAATTACTAAATTTTTATGGTTGGGTGTTTTCTTTTGTACCAAAAAAACATGAAATTATAGGGTTGGAAAAGGAGGGGAGAAAGACAGACTAGACATTTCAATTTGAAACAACTTTTAACAACTAATTTTGTTCTTTCATCAAATTGTTATTGTTGGCCTATTAAAACAAATCGGGTAGTAATTAGTTGCGGTAATGACAACGAGATTGGGTGGAACAATAAATCGATATTAATATTAGTTGCGTTTTAGAATAATCAGTCAAAGATTGGTCTGCAGCAAATTTGGGCAATCGTTCCTTTGGGTCGAGAGGAAAATGTAAGGTTGTCGAAGTTTGGTGTTATGTATTCAAGTTTGGACAACGGCACTTCCATGGTAATCCAATTTTCTTTCGTCGTTGGGTTCTGGGATATAGCCGGTAGCTAAAGTTTGTTCCTCAGTGAGTACTAGATGACAATAATTTGAGACTAAGTAATTGATGAAGGAAAATCACTTGTTGGAAGTTTGCATGATCAGTCTGCTCCAGCAGTAGTAAGAGAGGAGGTAATTGGGGGAACTGGTAGATAAAGTTACTGGTTTGGAATACAAGAGGAAATGCCTTAAAAGGAATAAAGCATTTTGGAAACTAATAAATAAGTATAGTGTAGAAGTAGTTGTCGTACTAGAGCCTAGGATTCGGGGTACTGAATTAGAGAATATCATTACAGAACGGTTCCTTGAGTGAGTGAAACGAGTTGCGAATAATTTAAATGGTTTGGGGAAATATGGTCACTATGGCGTAAGGACATTTGTTTAAGGGTCCTTCCCCAAACTGATCAATTTATTCAAGTTAGGTTTTGGGATTCTCCTCTCCGTAACTTTTGTTTATGCTTCTAATTTTGAGGCTGACAGATTTAGAATGCATGAGGATGTCAAAAGAG